CTTTGCACCTCGTGTGGAGATGGCGCCGCCGCCCCTTGCTGGCGATCATCTAGGGCGGGGAAGCCCTTGCATTCCAGGTTGCGGTTCTGTCTTGATGAAATGCAGCTGCCGTGACTGGCGCCGTTGCACCAGACGGAAGCCACGAGCGCCATCTGCTGCGCGGACAGACCTCGAACCAGGTTTCCAAATACTCCACGCACGCTGTACCTCAACATTTGCGTCTTCAACAACCGAGATTACCAATCGAGCAGTCTACACGACAACCGCATGCTAGTGTTTGCCCGGCGCTCCATATTCAAAGTTACGTTGAGGCTCTTTGGATTTGGAAGACGACGAGACCTCGTCCGCGGCCTCCGAGACCGGTATCAATGCTTCCGATAGTTGCAACACTTGACATCTTGTACTCGTTAATCATGGTGGCCTACTACGTCGCCTGATTATCATCATGCTCACCGCTCAATCGGCAATTGACGTGCAACCTGTCTGATTTGGTCTGAACAACCTCATCGGAAGAAAGAGATTGGAGCCCAGTAGCATGACGATAACTAAACAAGTGGGCGGGTGGCATTCGTAGCACCTGTACCAGGCTCGCCTCTCGCTATAGATACAGATCCGTGTCCGGAATCACGGAACTTCCATCCTCATACCAACGAATACTGTACCTGCAATTAATGTTTTGACTGTCCGTAGCGGACGGTAAGTCATGCAAAAGACTTGATTCAGAAAGAGGGGTCTGCACGAAACAGTCCCACAACACATGGTGGCGTGCATGCGTATCATGCCCCACTCTTCTTTCCGGTATACCAGCATCTTGCCCAGTGAACTGATGTTTTATCTTCAACAAACACTGCAGGTTCATTTACCCGGTATCTGGGTTTCCTTCAACAGCAGTGCGCACTTCTACTTGCAGGCCGAAGTGTTTTCAGGCAAAATGAGCAATATGTGCACTGCTGGCAGTCATCGACTAAGATCGTACTTGTTGAACCCACGCGCGTCCGGCTTCAGATGTGGAGAGATCTCTCAATCCAATCGTCACTCTTCTAGCGTTGATATGTTGTATGGTGAATTTTTGTTCCAGGGAACGACGTTGCCATAGGTTGTGTAAGGGGTCCAAGGATAATACTTCCCCATTCTCCATAGCTTTAGATCGTTGCAGTATCCTAGATTTGCGCTAACAAGATGAAACGATAGGCAGCAGACACTTCAAGTCAAAGATGTCAGCCATGCGGAAGCTGGACGCCTTGAAGCCAAAAGCGGTCGATCTGGAGAGTGTCAGACGCTCTTCTAGATGGCGCACTTGTCTCTCAATAGCATAGTGAAGGCTATCACGATGCAAGTGCGTTGTTTTACCTGGCACCATCTCGCTGTGTACTGGTTTACTGCACGCTGCTATGGCTGTCATAATCTCAATACACTTTGGGGTTTTCAGCGAATCGGCTTCGCTCCGCTAATGCTTAGTGTGCGTCGCCTTTATCTGTCCGAGGCTCGAAAGCATGATGCTAACCAGAACAGCTACAGTTTGGGGGCGTCATCAAGATCCCACATTCCTGGCCCACTAGCTGAAGATACTATCGGAGACCCACGGACCTGGATCAGAGATCTCTTTGTAGATCGAAGCCCTACAATCTCGCTCCAACGTGCACTAGATACATCGCTAGAACTAACATCATCTTCCGCACGCGACAAGCGAACGCAGCCCTCAGCGGAATTGTCGCCGTGGAGTCTATCGGTCATGTTTGAACAATTTCAAAGGCACCGTCGTTGCTTGCATGGAAGGCTATCGTTAATGGCGGCTTAGAGCTTCGCACCTGTTTCGCACTCGCGTTGGTATGCAAATTCGCAAACATGGTAATCTAGGTAAAGTCGGCTGTAAATTTGTCACTTCCCCATGTTGAGCGGACAATTTCCCACTGTCTCTTACGCGCTAAGTGCACGTTCGCTTTCAGTCGAGCGATGTCTCTGTTGTGACCTCGGCAGCTGACGGTTGCCAATTAGGCTTGGTTCCTGCATATGACTAAGCTGCGCGAGCCGCAGATCGTTGGCTCAGCCACCTTCGACCCTTCTTTTCCCAGCTGAGATCGGCTTCACCTGCCGTTCGCACACATCTGCTGGCACTCACGCTGCAAAATCAATATTTCGGACGGCCAGGGTAGGCGATGCGACCGCTACGACTTGCCCTGACTGCAGAACAGCATGACGCAGTCGTGTAGTACCTCCAGAAATCGACGGGTTCGCATTCACTCCCACATCACTACTCAACATCACTACTCAACACCACAAAGTGACATGTTGACAGCTCCCGTCGAGCTGGATCATCTACTTCCCGTCAACTAATGCTGCCAAGCGTAGTCGGCTCGGAGAACATCGCTCGTGGTCATATACGCGGATCAGCATGCGAAAGAGAACCCGGGACAATCAAGATCTCTTGGCACGGGAACAAGAGTCTAACGCCGATCCGGCCTGCGGTTACCATCAGCCGCAGTCGGTGCTGATCTTGATCGTCTGTCTCCTGGGAGAGCGCCCCACAGAAGTCGTTGACGACTCGGTAGACCGTAGACACAGCCACAATCCCGCCAGGCATCCCTTCTGCAGTTTCATCGCGTACCCGAAGATCAAGCACTGAGCAGAATTTTCGCTACGAGTATTCCGGACCTGTTTTACGCGAGAAAACTACAGCATGCGGCGCAGACTAACGACGATGGCCTACTGCATTTGGACCTGCGTGACAGCGCACCTGCATCCATCATCTGGGACTCTGTCCCCACCGTCACCGGCCGGTGAGCTCTACGCTTGTCATCCTCTAACCACAAGCTCCAGGGGTGCACGAGATATCACTACTATGTCTTGTTGGTGCATGATGGCTGCAATTTGAGTGTAAGTCGTGCGCATGGTACCGTCGTCTCGCTATTCCATACCTGGCCAGCGTCGAAGCACTGGCTCGGGATGTAAGGATGATCGGTGCCGTCTCCGTTTCGCAACCAAATTACCTGCAGTGGCTTCAACGCTAACACGTGGCTCTTTCGGAACACCTTCGCGGAATGATGTGATAGCGGGAAATGGTGTCGTTAGCACAGGGTTCCGACAGGCTCCGTTTCGGGGCATTTACTCACACCTTGGTACGTCAGATGTGTCGAAACGGATCACTAGGTACTCTAACGCCAACCTTAATTCCAGCCAGGCCTGGCAGGACCTACCTCTCCCGGTCACAAGGTAGACCCCCGCCACACTTCAAACATCTCGAACAACGACAATCGTTGTAGATGAGGAACCTTACTATCGACTCTCCTTTACTGTGCAGGTGTCGACAGCGTATCCTAGATTCCTCGTGAGAGAGAGCGTCTGCAACCACAAATGACGAACTGCAACCACGATCTTGTGAGAAATGACGTCAGACCTCCATACGAGTATACGAGATCGAAACCATGCTCTTCATCGAGGGGAGATCTCAGCGCAACGTCCCCCGCCGTCACTGTCAACGGGTCTCGGAAACCTCGCCTATCGCGGTACATCAGAACTGAAAATTCGCAATGTAACTGTGTATCCTGCAAAAGCGTAAACACCGGGCTGAGCAGAAACGCTCATTGCTCCGGCGCACCTCATTCGTGCGCCTCGCTCAAAAAGAACCCACCACCAATCCACATCGCCACCCCCGGCCGACAGCGTACTGACAGCATGTAATGGCGGAGTTGCGCGATACATCACAAGGTTTTAGGCGTGACATCTGTCGCTCTTTTTTGCTTCTCCCGTACCGTTGGTTGTGCAGTGCAGATCAAGAGTTGCTTCTCTGTCTTTCTGGGCACGCGAGTCCGGCCAAGCCTGGCGGAGATGCCTCCGCAACGCCTCGGTACAAAGAAAGGGAGAGCTTTTAGGTAAAGGCGTTCAGCTGCGTATAGCTGCTGCAATTAAGGCGTATGCGTTCAGGCGAGCATCGCCGGCTGAGGGTGTGGTGCTCTACTTCCAAGTCCAGAGCCACCTTTCTTGCTTCCTTTTTCGATCTCTAGGTGGTGATCTCTTCGACTGCATCTCCGGCGTCGTTTGCAGAGGGGGCTGTGTGCATGATCCAAACTCCACGAGTTTGGAATGCCACAATTCGCAACTATGCATGACAGCATTAGAACAACACTTGACGTCGTTTGATGAGTAAACGCTTCAGGCGGGTACAGTGCCCGCACGTGGTCGAGACACCACGAGGTAGTGCGACTTGCATATTAGCGCGATTGATTTGTTTCAGAGATGTGATATCGATTCTTTATTAAGTGTACATACGGAGCGGAAAGCCATTCATTCACCCCGGGCCTTCTCTCGCGGCCCAAGTCTCGATGCACTAGTTTAGCCGTAGCTCTTGGTAGCGTTAAGTACCTCTTCTAATCATTTTTGAAGAAACTCTGGATTCTGGAATCAATACTGCTTGTAAAGGCGATCGTGATGAGGAGTCTGGCTACAAGCCGAGGCTTGTATTATGTGACTTGTACGTATCTTTGACATCGTTGATCTTGAAAGAGAGCAATCTAGCCTCTGCAATAGCATCGCTTGGCCTACGTGCAGCTTCTCGGCCTTGAATCGATGCATGGTTATGAATGTTTGTGCAATAATGATATGAGAATGGCTACAGATCCTGACAGATCATTTCTCAAATACTAATGAAGTCCGTTGCTGACATGGGTTAGACATGGAGCAGCACATGCAAATGCATGCTAGTCATATCGAAAGAACACCTATGTACTCATTATTGCTGGATGTATTGTGCCGGATACATCTGCCCAGGCATGCAGTATACGCATCCGTGTATCAGCCTAAACAGAAGACGAGAGAGCGTAACGCGATATCTTGAGATACGAGAAAGGACCGAAGAGTCGACGTTGACTTTAACCGTTATCTGTACAGTATCAATACATCCTTGTATCCTCCAGCCTTCCCTATCAAGAAGCCCACGTGCCCAGCGCCATCTCCGTAGCCCTTAATCCTCGAACCCATCTTCGTTCTCGAAGCCTTTGTACTCATCAATCTGTGCGTTCAGAGATGGCTCGGAGGAGTTTGATCCACTGTCGGACGTCAGGAAAGTTGTGCGGACCCATGGGAGACTCGGTCAGTACAACACCTTCGCAAAGCCAATTACCCCTCGAAATATTCTTGGCTGGCTTCGTATTTGCAAACAGATTTGCGATTTTGTCTAATGCAACCTCGCCCTCAGCTCGCGAGCCTAACCAAGGTCGAAGCCGAAGACACATCAGACTAGTCGCTACTGGTAAGTAAAGATGGCCGTAAAGGTTTGCGATTGATCGAATCTGCTTCATCTCGTCAGATTTCTCAATCTTGTCCTTTGGAAGCGGAATCGGGGGCCCGTTGAACATCTGGTCTTGTAAGCTCATACCCCAGTCATCGAGATCGGTCTCCAATAGCTCGGGAAATATCTGTGCCAGACCAACTGACATTAACGTCTTGTACGATACGGCCTTGTATCCAATGCCTCTGATTGGTCCATGAGCCAAGTACTCATGAAGTCCGTCGGGCTTGAACAGGTGCGGAACATGCCAGACCAAGACGTCTCCATCCAGCTGCTGTGTGTCCATGATTGCGACGTGGGGATCGTATTCTTCTTCTATGGATCCAGCATAGCAGAGAGCTAGGTGAATTGACGCGGTCCATGAGCTGAATTCGGAGGTGAAAACGGATTCGGTGTCGTAATGGTCTCGCACCATTTTGTAAAGCTCACTTTCAGGCTTGTCGTAGAATCCGCTTTTTTGCTGCTCCAAGTACGAAATAGGAATTGAGGGATGTGGTTCTTGCGGAGATCTGTGAGAGTTAGCCAAGAGCGTGATGTGATAGCAGGGTGAAGTACCTTCGAAATATGCCTTGCGGTCACCCGTAATTGGCTCAATATTGCTTGCTTCCAGCATGATCGCCTAGGTATGGTTAGTGTCGATGTCGTCGTTAAGGCAGAAAGCTAATTAAGGATAGGTGTTGGATGGTAGAAGAAGATTGAGGAATTGTTGGATACGGTTATAAGTGTGGTAGCAGTTTTTCTAGATAATTATGATTTTGATCGCTCTTATTGTCCTTGTGACACAATAGCACAAGACGGGAGGTTTCGATTTTCAAGTAAGTGAGGTGAAGGCGACAGTCCGTCCTCCAGTCACCAAGAGTTCTCCGCCTGAGTGCTAGGCAACGACTCTCGTTGAGACAGCAACTTCGATGCAGATTTCGGGGGCATCAAACGATGTTAGGGCTTGTTGTTCTATTCGGAGTTTTGAGAAGTTTAGCTCACGCTGAATACATCATAATTCGATGTCTACAGTGCCATCTCATGTATTGGAAACAAGGCCTCCAATGGACGCAAGCAACGCTACCTATGTTCTAGACATATACCTCCTAGTCTCCAACTACGCAAGTAATATATCCAGGAAATCATCTCACTCTTTGCAGCAAGCTTCAAGACAGACTGAACGTACGTTTTCGAAGTGCACGGATATGCCTGCCTCCAGCAGCCGACCAAAAATCTGCACTCCAGCCTCTTTGTAGTCCTTTACTCGCTGCTTCGGGTCGTTATCGAAATCGAGAGATATTCTTTTCAAGCTGCGCAGCTTGCTGCGGTCATCCAGAACTCCCGAGATCCACTCTATCACAGCGGTAGTCGGATCAGCCACATTAAGGTACTCTACATTCGGCGGCAGCGCCTCGAACGGATGGAGAGGGGAACATTCGTAGGGGGTTGAGTTGATGAGAACACTTTGCGGAATGGATAGGCGCTTTATTAGAGTGAAACGTTGCAACGATCGCGATGGTCGGAGGTAGTCGATCTGTTTAGAATCTCCGGTGTCAGAGCACTTTAGATCCAGCTCTTCCAGAAGATGTGAGGCAGGGATCAGCGGATCGATGATGATGGAACTCGTAAATCCTTGCCCAGGATAGCATATGCGTTCCCGATTGTAGGTGGCGTAATATAGGTTGTCGTACTCATAATAGCCGTAAGCAAACCCAATACCACCACTCATGTTGTTATAATGTTCTATCCAATTGGTAAAACACAAGTGCAAAGACCTCAGGGCGGGGAGCCGTTGGAAGAAAGGCGAGAGGTCTTGTGTATTGGCTGCCTGGTATTCGTAAAGTATTGGGCGATGTAGAGTCAAGGTAGTGATACCATAGAGTAGGATAACTGGTTCTTTGTCCCATGCTATGGGCCCTGTACAGTCGAGTTCCAAGTGAAGCAGTTTTGGAAAAGTAGACCAAGACCTGTCCATTTCTCCCCAAGCAACAGATAGCCGTCGGAGGTGTGGAAGAAGCAAAGTACCAGGAGCAGTAACAGCATGCCTTTCGGCTATGCCAGGGAACGTCAGACTCAGGCTCGGCGGCGTCATGAAATCCTGGTTATCTCCAGAACAGAACGTGAGATTCTGCAGCTGATCTGTCAACACCAGCAATAGGCCAATGCAAGCATAAAGATCGCCGTCTTTGACTCTGCTAGCCCACTTCATCTGATCGATAGGCCAAGAATGTGTCGACTTTATTGCGTGTGTGACGACCTGGTCCCAGGAGTCATCATAGCCTACAGCCGATCTGTAAACGTGCTGAGGACCACGATATCCCGTTATTTGCAAAGAGCGGACCTTCTTAGCGAGATCTGGCCTTTTTACTAAGGTTCTGAGGAGTTCCGAAAGAGACTGGTAATGCGTCCTGAGACTAATGGAAGTGTGAAGAGCTTCTTGCGGGATGTCGCGGAACTGGCATGCGGTTAGAGCTAGGTCTTTGAGATCGGGTGGCTGAAGGCGTAGCGCGATATCGAGCAGGAGCTCGTCAGGTAGGCTCTTAAGCTGAGCCATGATCGTGCTTCGAAACGGCAGTATCGATTGCGAAGTTGAGTTGATGGTGGGGACAGGTCGGAGATGGAACGGAGATCGCAGCTCAGATAGCAGGTCAAAGTTGAGTGTGAAGGAAGCAGGCGTAACTTTCTCCTTTCACTTCGTCATAAGTAAAATTGCATCAGACTTCAAGTCTGACTGTTGAATAGTCGCGCAGAAACTAAACCTTGGTATTACCCTGGCAATACCACGGTACTTTGATGAGTAATGCGATGACATGTAGATGATGAGCCAATAACAACTCCCGCAACACAAGCGACGCCCATGTCTCCAAAGACCACCGGCGCCTCATCAATGGACATTGATACTCGTTACTTGTGGCGGCAGATACACGTCGTAGTCGCGCTTTCTACTTTTGAGGAGGGTGGTCTCTAGATGCTGTGCTGAGGACTTGCCACGGAGAAAAGGCGCTGCAGCAGGAAATGGGATGGCATTCACGTTGGACGGCGATGGTAAACTTGGTCTTTTCGTATTTCTTTGGCCTAGCGCGCCGGCCGTGAGTTCCGAGTCTAAGCATCAGTACCCTGGAACATGTTGCCCACGCTCGTCTCAGACTTAACAGCATCCTCATGATAATGCGAACCCGCCGAGGTAACCGTAGTGTCCAACTCTTCCAGACGCCTCAAATCCATAGGCGCAGCCAAAAGCGGAATGACGTAAGGATCGAAAGTCTTCCAGTAAGGGTTGTTAAGGTGGTATTGCTGGGACTGCCGCGAGCGTTAGTTTGTCACGGGATCGATAGACGGTCTTTTCTCGGATCGTGAGTGAGCGTGCATCATCTTCGGAGTTGGAGGCATGCGCCAAAACATCCTCCTCCAACATCTGCTCATACGCAAACCAATAAAAGCCCCCCCCCGTCCATTATCATGAAGCGAACCAAAAAGAAGATCAAACTTACAGATTCCTTCAAGTACCGCTCAACAATAGTAAACTTCCTCTTATCCACCGTATCCTGCATAACGAACCAACTCAGCGTCTCCTTATCCTTGCTGTACACCTGACTCGCTTCCACAAGCTTAGCACTCAGCTTGCTGATGCTCTCCTGGTCTTCCTTGGCGAGGAGGTGAACGACGATTGTGTAGACCATTTTGGCTTCTCTTGTTCCTTTCTCGTTCGTTGTGTTGCTGTGTTGGTGTGGACACTGGCGATCAAGCTTTTCGCTTCGCTTGGAAAATGGAGTTTGCGTACGTAGTTGAGTACCAGAATGGGACCGTATGACAGAGAAAAGAGAAGAAGATTTAAACGTCGCGACAAACAACAGTAGATTTTTCTGCATCGGTGATGCTGTTTTTGCGGCCTAGTGACGTATCACCGCGACGGAACCCCGCAGCTGAAAGTGGAGTTCGGCCGATCTGCATGCCTTCCTTCCCACGCTACAAGCAACACCAAGGAACGGAAGGAGCGCGCAGCCGCAACATCCCCAAAAAGCAAGGGAAGGAGCACAATGAGTGTCTTCGTAGGCGCGGGATGTAAGGCCGACGATAACGCGTAGCCACGTGGGGACGTGGGACACGGGATGGAAGCACCACCACCAGCACACTAAGCACAGCAACCAAGATTTTTTGAACTTGAAGATCAATTACACATCTAAACAACGAGGGAAAATAAGAACAAGGGTGCCTCCCAACACCCCGCCCCATTCTCCCTCATCTATGTCGTAACTAAACTGATAAGCTAAAGAAGGGGGGAATTTGCGAAAAGACAACGCAGTCGCACCGTAGCAACGCTAAAGTTACACCATCATCACCATTCCCAATTCCAACCAGAAAATTTGGAAAAAAACACCACCCCATATATTATGCCATGCCGTTAAAGCGAATGATAATCGAAAACATGGGTACTACTATGCCCTGCTGAGCATCTTGAGCACCTCCTCCTTCTCGCTCGTGGGCAGGGTGCTGAGCAAGCTCATGACACCCTTGAGACCGCCCTCGCGGTCCTTGCGCATGAGCTGCGCGATTTCGAGCGCAATGCCATCCGTCTTGAGTTGCTCAATCTTGTCGCTGACGAGGGGCCTGTTCTCTTCGTACCAGGTCGCGACGGCCATGTCGTCTTGCTCCCAGTTGGGGATGTTGGACAGGTGCTTCAACATCTCGAAGCCGCGGCTGCGGGTGAGCGGGTTGGCCATGGGGTTGTCGTGTGTGGGCGAGGCGGCAGCAGCGAACTTCTTCAGGATGTACTCCTCGTTGAGACGGCGGCGGAGGCGCCAGTAGAAGAAGCGGCGGGCGTTTTGCCATCGCAGGGCTTGTCGGATGACACCCTTGGCTTGCATGCGGCCGGAGCGGTCGTGCAGATCGGCGAATTGAAGGGCGATTTGACCGTAGACAGGTAGAAGCTTCTTCTCGCGCTCGGTCATTTGGGCCTTGATTTCGCTGAGCTCGGACTCCGGTGTTGCCTTGTCGTTCAGCTTGCGCTTGAGAGCACCGTAGGTAGGGTCGTTGCGGGCCATAGTGTCGAGTTGACGTTCCCGACGGTACTTGATACCGACGATACCTTCGGGTTCGAGCACACCACCACGCGAGTCCTCGTCAGCGTACATCTCCATGAATTGAGGGTTGATAGTGGGATCAACGACGACCCAAGATCCACCACGAAGCTCGCCGTACGGAGGAATGTAGACGAAGATGGGCTGTTCGAACTTGACGAGGGCATCGACAATGTAAGAACCGTACTTGAGGACCTCGTTGTACATGTCGCGCTGACCACCGGAGAAACCACGCCAGTTGGCAAGAATCATCAACGGCAGTTGCTCACCGTTGTTGAAGTCCTTAATAGCCTGAGCAGTCTTGAAGGCGGAGTTGGGGTACCAGACACCACCAGCCTCGGATGTGACCTGTTCGATGGAGTCAGGGTTGGCGGGATCAGCAGGTGTAACGTTCTCGACCGAGCGTGTCTCAACACCGATGACACCAATAGGAATGCCACCGAGGCGAGCACGACCGACGACAACCGTCTTAGCCCAACCACCAAGAGTCTCAACGAACGAGCCGCGATCGAAAAGACCAGACTGGAAACCGTCTTCGTCCTCCTTTCCGGCGATGAGATGCCTGACATCGTAGGCTGACTTGCCAGGTGGGTAGTAGGTGATGTCGCGGTCCCAGTTGTCGGCAGATGGCGAGATCGGGACGGGGCTGCCCTTCTTGTCGGGTACGTATGACAGCCATTGGACGATCTTGGAGACACCCTCGAAGTCATCATCGGCAGTCGAGTGTGAGACACCGTTTCTGTACATGATCTGGGTACCACCAAGCTGGAGGTTCGAGGTGTAAACTTCACGACCAAGCAGCTTGTTGATGGCCTGTGCACCGGTGAGGATGATTGGCTGTCCTTCAATCTGGATGGCACGCTGACCAAGGCGGACGAGGTAAGCACCAATACCTATTTAGCGTTAGTAGACGAATTTGGACATCGTGAAGAAGATACATACCAACTGAGCGGCAAGTCACCAAAGTGATGGTGAAGATGTCCTCGTACGCCCTCGATGTCTCACCAGCGATGAGACCAGAACCACGGAGCGACTCAACACCAAGACCATCCTCAGCACCAATGACAGTAGTGATCTTGTAGCGGTTCTCGCCATCGACCTCAACCTTCTCGCAGATGACATCATTGCGCTTGCCATCAACGAAGTGCTCGTACTTCTCAGGTGTCAGGTAGAGGTAGTCGAAACCAGCCTCGGGCTTGTCGGCGTCCTTCCATGCAACAGAGAAGTGAGGAATGAGCTCCTCAGCAAGACCGATACGAGCACCAGAGTTGGCAGAAAGGTAGATTCGCGGAATGCCAAGCTTGCGTGCAAGCTCAGAGCACTTGTGGAAGAAGTTGTCTTCCGCTGGACCGAAGGAACCGATCTTGAAGGTGATGTCGTTGGCGATGATGATGAAGCGACGACCACGGGGGTACTCAGGTGTCTTTGCGGTGACCATCCATCCGACCATACCAATAGTGTTGTGGCCAGGGTCACGGTTGACCTCAGCCAGGTTGTCAGTGTCGTCAAGCACCAACTCGTAGTACTCGAGGCACTCTCCCTTCGCCGGCTGCCTGTCACGGAGGAACGAGTGCTTCTTGATAGCCTCGATCCAGCTGTTCTCGGTCGCCTGGCGGAAGAGCTCAGGGAAGTCGTACACGTACTGAGTACC